GTGTCTTTGTGGGGGGGGGGGGGGGGGAGGGGACACACGGCCAGGACGACCCTGCTTCTTTTGTTTCTTCTCTCCTTGTTTTCCATCCACTGGCGTCTATTAATTTACTGCCTCCCCCTCATCTCGTTACCCCCGTGTCCCCCCTCCTGCTCCTGTCTGTCACTGCCTGGATAGGATCTATAACTGCATTAGATTACATGACAGTGTGTCGGCCAAAATCATTTCTCTATGTTTGCACGCAGCAGACAGTCGGAGTGCGTGGAGGCGGAGGCTTCCATTCATCATCATCACCGCACACACACACACCAGCAAGCATGTGCTCACGCAGACACACACACACGCACACACACACACCGGCCGCGACACCCTCCTCTCTGGTTTCTACACACACATTTATCATCATCATAAACACCTCAGACGTTAACACCATCAATCCCATTCACTTCCCCTTCACTTAACCACCACGAACTAACTGAGTGAAGAGGGGGAAGAAGGAGGAGGAAGAGGAGGAGGAAGAGGGGAGAGAGGCAGGAGAAAACACAGCTATTAAAGTGTGGTGATACAGTAGTGGTATAATGTACGATCACAGAGTTTTAACATTAGGTCACATGACTTGGACTTTTACTCCTGAGCTCCTCTAGACCAGGGCGGGCCAATAAGGAGACTGGGATCTACCAGTAGATCAGAGAGGGAGAGCTGGTGGATCATGAGGAATGAATTCAATATATATATATATATATTGTAAGAATCTAATCATTTGTGCCAAACTGTTTCATGTATTTAATCAGTACCTAAACATGTAATACTTTATACCATGTTCACTTTATATGACTGAATTTATATTTAATGTTTTCGCTGTAGGTAGATCACTTGGTCATTTGAATAGTAGCTCGAGACTGTTGTTAGCTGGCAGAAATATTGTTTTTGGTGATGACCTTTGTTAATGTTGATTTCAAGTCTCTTAATCTAAAAAAACAAACGTGCAGATGTTTTGTTGTCCACTATACAGTTTAGTTTTGAACTTGGTAGAAAATAGTAAAAGAACTAAAATAAGAACCACAGTTAAAGCTAAATGTTGAACTGGATTCCATGTAACATTTGCCAAAACAATTTCCAGACAAGGAAAAATACAAACTAAAGATCTCCTTCTGCTAATGTCAAAAATAACTCTTTAACTCTTTGACTTTTTTTAAATGGTGTTAACTTATTAATTCTCCAAAAATGTCTCCTGTGGATAATTCTGTTCTTCTTCATTACGTTTGTGTTCATCTCTCCAACAACTGTTTTTATTCTCTCTTCCTCTGTCCCCCCTCGCCTCCTCTCTCCTGTCTTGGTGTAGTAAAGTTTTTCTCTGTGTTTGACGCGACAGCGAGGCATTAGCGCAGACGGGCTACTCATCGGCTCAGGGTCAGTGCACAGGGCAAGGAGGAGAGGGAGGAGAGGGAGGAGAGGGAGGAGAGGGGAGACGGACTCTCTGCAGCCCAGTTTAGAGAGGGCAGACAGGTCCTCTGAAGTCTGTGTGTGTGTGTGTGTGTGTGTGTGTATTGGCTGTGCATATTTATGCCAGTTGTGCTGCTCCGTGTCTGTTCTCCACAGCTTTGTCGTAGAGGTCAAGGAACAAGTACACGTCTCCTCTGTGGCTGCTCGCAGCTACAGATGGACTCACGTTCTCTGCCTCTCCTGTTCCTCCTACTTTCTATGTCTTTTCAATGAAAAAGCCATCAGCACATGTCAGTCCTGGAGGATCAGTGTTGGACAGCGTGTCGTATGTACAGTGTGTTCAGCCTCACATGGTCTGGACCATTGTGAAAGGAAAAGAGAATAAGTGTCCTGTACAGTATGGGCCTCCAGCACAGAGCTTAGCTGTGCACATACAAGATACAGTGTATTTTATTTTTGGTATATTGGAGTATTGAGGTTGAATTTTACAGCGGTGCTTTGCGGTTTTATTCTATTCTTTATTCTTCTATAAGTAAGGAAGACATTGTGTGGTGCAAAACATTATAGTAATTAAGTAAAATATGTTTTGTGACCAATATATAATACATTAATTAATAAATTAATTACATACACTACCATAAAATTAATTCTAATCTTCAAACTAAATCCTAAACCCCAAACTACTGTACAGTGTCCCCACAAAAATATTATTTTCCCAAAACGTCCTAACAGCCAGAGGGAGCTCTTTTTTTTTTTTGAGGAAACGCATGCTAAATATTTAAAAATAGCATGGGAATATGAACACACTGCTGCATACATAAGCAGACATGGAGATTATGCCTCCTCCTCCTCCTCCTCCTCCTCCTCCTCCTTGTCTCTGTCCATCTTTGGGTGTGAGCAGGTAATATTCTTTAGTGGATTCACAGCTCTGTAAAAGGAACCTATTCCAAGATATCCTCAAATTCCCAGCTCTATGATTCCCCTCATTACAGATGGGAATTCTGCAGCCTTGTCCAGGCAATCCCTGGTTTAGTCTTAATTAACCACTGCTTCTCCCAGTGTCCCTAAATGGAGACGGCAGAAGAAAGGAGGCTCTCACTTCTCTTCAATGCCTCCTCCTTCTCCTCCTTCTCCCAGACCCAGGGTTATAGGCTTTTTTTTTTATCACAGAAGTCTCTATCTAACAGTAGATGGAAATAAATATATAGACTTAGAACTTACTCATGTTGTGCATGTTACATTTTACTGGAGTCGGTCTCATGTGGTTTTGTCCAGATGTCTAACAGCTCCTAAATCTTTACAATTTCATTATTATCATATAATTAGAATCATTTTAATTATTAATTATTATTAATTAAAGTTAATTAAATAGAATATTTACCTCCTAAGCTGCCTTTACCTGTTGGTAAATGTATCACCATACTAATGACAACATGCAGTATTTGTTTTGTTTTTTTTCTCACCTGGAACAAGTGGGTAGGACTGTGGACCAGGAACACTGGCTCCCAGCTCAGCTCCTGTTCCTGGATTGGCCAAACTGTTCTTCATCTCGTCCAATCCACCCGCTAGTGAAGCCATGGATGAATAATCTGACGTCTGCACGGAGAACAGACATTAGAAATGTAAATGAGACAAAATAAGAACAACAAAGAAACAGTGTATATTTTAATGTACTGTGAATCAGTATTTTTATGTTGGCTGTTGTAGAAGTCTGACAGTTGACACTGCACCACACACAGATTATTGATCTGGTTACAAAAAAGGATTCACTGATACAGTCAGTTCACAAGAGCAGCACTCAAGTTTCAGTTTAGACTTTAAATCCATTTAAATTCAACTATTGAGGAATGACAGAACCATAAAGTTCAACAACATTTAATGATTTATTAAATACCACTAAAGTTACGATGATCAAGTTGACGTACGAGGAAAACAAGTACAGTATCTACAGTATGTCGGCCAATCAGGTTACATTGTTGTTTGTCAGCAGCTTTGATACAGATTAACAGTTATATTATAATAAAAGTATCATTTGAAGTCATCACATTTGCACCGACCGACGTGATGAGGTTGTACAGACACTGTTAATGAATGAAGAGGGTAAAACAACAAAGTCTACGTCCAAACAACTCAATGTGTTCGTGTTCTTTAGGTGATAAATTAAGAGCTTAGCCTTTTACCAACACCTCTGTATCAGTCAGTGTGTGTCCGTGTGTGTGTGTGTGTGTTTCCAGTACATGTAGCTGTAGGTGTTTAAGTGCAGGCGTGTGTTTGTGCTCACTGACCTCTTAAACACCCCTGTGCTCGTCAACACACAACACAACCACTGGACTGTGACCTGCCAAATAAGAGCTTACCCTGTACACTACATTACTCTCTCTGTCTCGGTCTGCCTCTCTCTGTCTCTGTCTGCCTCTCTCTCCCGTTCTCTCTCTCTTGTTGGGCTTGGGAAACATTTAAAACCCTCTTTCCTTTCCTAATTCCTTCAAACCTCACCTCCCTCCCCCTCCCTCCATATCCCCCTCCTCTGGCTGCTCTCCGTCTTATTATAGTGGTGTCTAATGTGCCCATGTATCCATGTAGATGGAGAGCAGACAGGGAAGACGGGGTCTGCCGTGGTAATTGGCTATGATGAAGTTTGGCCAGTAGGGTGACAGGCCGGCTAAGGAAGATGGATCATTC